GCGCGCGTCATATGTGATACAGCATGCAACACTGGTCTGCTGGTTAGATATAGATAGATAGAGATAGATGATAGATAGAGTGAGATAACACATAAAGTCAAAGGCCCTCTATTATCGGAAAAACGAGATGGACATTTTCTCTGGTCGACGACGTTAATAATGATGATGACGACGACGACGTTTCTTAATAAAAATAAAACGTGAAAATTCACAGATCCCGACTTTACGTCGCGATATCTCCGCTCGTAGGGCACGTAGAAAAAAAATGAAAGCACTTTTATTATACAATTTTAGTATTTCCTGTCGATTGAGCGTATGTAGAACTTGATCGGTCCAGCCGTTACTGAGATCTGATCATCTCGACCCCGAAAAATTCTCAGTTTCGCGTAAAGGAGGCACGGCAGTGTCGCGCGCTTGGCTTAGCGCCGAGACACTACCGTGTCTCCAGATATAAGAAATATACTATGTAATAAAGGTCTATATCAATTTGGAAGGGAAAAGAATCTGAGGTACAGAAAGTATGATGTAATTGTAACATCTACACTAAAATATAACGATGCATAACTTGGCATTAGAATAAAAAATTAAAATTTTCATCGTTAATTCCGTCACTATAAACGCATTGATGGTACCTCTTGTTATTTTATAAAGGTATGGCAAATAAATTCATTATATTGTTAATTTGTTAATGGCTTTGCTTCGTGCTTCCTTTCTTCTTATTATTGTTAATTTGTGTTTAAATATATAATATTTTTAGCCTATTTTTAAATTACTGCATATCCACTTTTGAAAATGCATACTAGATGTGATAGATAGATTTAAAAATTACATGATAATAAGAGGAACTTTTTTGCAAAATTACGTGTGCTGAAAAATGTGAATTCTAATAATTAAGAGTCAATCAACCTTTTTATTTTTAACTTTATGTACAAAAGAATATAGTTCTTATATGTATATAATCATATTTTATGTTTAAATGTTTACACTGATGATGACCCGATAAGGGTAGAAACATTTGTAATTTTTATAATTTACATTTTGTTTATATTAAATAGCATCTCACATAGTAGCTTAGACTTGTAACTTATTTAATTTCTATTATTTTTAATTATTGAATCTGATATTTTTAATAATAAAAAATTTAATTAAGAAATAGAAATTGAATCATAAAGTGTTCTCCAAAAATTCACATAAAGAACAAATTAAATGATTCACAATTTGACATTCAGTTCATCAAAGGAATATCAAATAAATTCAACAAATTCATAAATGAATCGTTACTTTTTTGTTACTTTTTTCTTGACACTAGAATATTATGTGCAGATTTTTTTGATAAATAAAAAAGATATAAAAATTCTATTTTTTAGTGGAGAAATAGAGCTAAAAAAAACAATCTATATATATACATATATAATTATTAATTATATACATAATATACTGTGTGTTTCATTTTAATTACCCCAGATAAATATCCCAAAAAATATGGAAGATACGAAAAAATGTTTCAGACAAAAGTTGTATGGTTTCGAGGGGGACATAAGATGGTATCATTAATTGTATAAAGGTTACAGAAATGTCACTTTTAATTTCTTAAATGGAACTTATTTTATTTTCTTATAGCTTATCTCGAGAGCTTTCCAAAACACTATAATAAAATATTTTTTCATTAAGTACTTTTCGAGTTATAAGGCTTGAAAGTTACTGTACTGTTGGCATTAACATTACCCAAGGTGTCCAATGGCTAAAATCTTTTGAATGTTGTTCAGGATCATGGTCTGAACAACATTTGTCAAGATCAAGGCCACTGGAAGTTGTAACTCTTATTTTCATTTTTGCACTGAAAATTTATTTTTATACGTACAAATAACGCGTTATCTACCAATCTTGAAAACAATATTAAGAAAATAAAGAATTAGTAAAATTGTAGATAAGTTTAATACAGAAAAAAATTTGCTCTCTATACATATACAAACTAGTTAAAATAGAGAATTTCAAGTTTAAATATTTATTTCAAATTTAATAATAAATTAATTATTATTTAATATAATTTTAAAATCTTGTAACTTACCTTAGTACTATAAAAAAAGTAACGAATTGTTATTTTTTAAGTAACGGTGATGATAACGCGTTACTTTCTTGAGGTAACGTGCACAATCCTGCTTATATACACATGTGTGTATATGGGTCATTCCATGCCAAGTGGGCCACTCAAAACTTTTGGATTTTTGATTTGGCTAAAATTTTGATATATTATAGTACTCATCGCAAGAAGCTACCATAATTTTTTTCAAATTTTTTTATCAACATAGTCATGAGATATGAATTTTTTTCAAAATTCGCAATTTTCAAATGCCTATAACTTTGCGAAAAATAATCCAAACAAAACGTTATTTTTTTAAAATTGTGTTTTTTTCTCTAGTTTTCAAAAAAAAATATCAAGAAAAGTTTCAAAATTGTTTTTGTAATTTAATGTAAAAAATTATTAATTTTTTAAAGTATGACACTTCTAATTTTTAAAAAAAATTCTCATAAGAACTTAGATTTATTTGATGATTTTTAAGACTAATTTGATCGTGGGCAAATTTTTCTTTCTATTTTTTTTCGAATTATTTTTTTTTTAATTTTGTATTTTTTACGCAATGGAATAATATGAAATCATGATTTTGTCATGATCTATAATTTTTTTATTTATTCTCAATATAATAAATAACTTTGATATTTTTACAATATTTTTTGGGAGATATATAGAAATAGAAATTGGGAGTTTTTCTTATAATTAAAAAATCAATAAATATTTTTCGTCGAGAAGGTATCAAAATTTATTTTCTTAAACGTTTAAATAATTTACATACTCTACATTCCTCAGAATTAGAATACTCTTTTACAGTAATACAACCATTTTTATTAGGTTTGATACAATGTAATTTTTGGTAAATATATAGAAAAGGGGAGCCCCCCCGATGATCTTGACCTTGACATATGTTGTCAAGGTCATGACCCTGAGTAACCTCCCGCAGGTTTTAGGTGGCGGTCACTGTCCGTTAAAAAGTTATTAACAAAAAAGTTTCAAAATTAACGTATCATTTCTGCCATATATGTATTATAACAAGTACTATTTTACATCTCCTTCTGTTTAGAAACGTTAAACTTTCCAGGCGGAGCAATTCTCACCTCCCCCAACCCCCTGCGAAGGGGCACACGACTTCTACGATTGTACTGTTGCTATGATTGTACTGTCGGGGCAGACCTCTGTCGACGGTGTGGGTGGTGGCCGAAGACCACCTCCTTGCACCAGCCCGTGTGTGTGTGCGAAATAACAAGTAATAGACTCATAATCGTTATATAACGAATGGAACATAATCGTAGAAGTCGTGTGCCCCTTCGCAGGGGGTTGGGGGAGGTGAGAGTTGCTTCGTCTGGAAAGTTTAACGTTTCTAAACAGAAGGAGATGTAAAATAGTACTTGTTATAATACATATATGGCAGAAATGATACGTTAATTTTGAAACTTTTTTTGTTAATAACTTTTTAACGGACAGTGACCGCCACCTAAAACCTGGGGGAGGTTACTCAGGTTCATGACCTTGACAACATATGTCAAGGTTAAGATCATCGGGGGGGGGCTCCCTTTTCTATATATTTACCAAAAATTACATTGTATCAAACCTAATAGAAAAGGTTGTATTACTGTAAAAGAGTATTCTAATTCTGAGGAATGTAGAGTATGTAAATTATTTAAACGTTTAAGAAAATAAATTTTGATACCTTCTCGACGAAAAATATTTATTGATTTTTTAATTATAAGAAAAACTCCCAATTTCTCAAAAAATATTGTAAAAATATCAAAGTTATTTATTATATTGAGAATAAATAAAAAAATTGTAGATCATGACAAAATCATGATTTCATATTATTCCATTGCGTAAAAAATACAAAATTAAAAAAAAATTAATTCGAAAAAAAATAGAAGGAAAAATTTACCCACGATCAAATTAGTCTTAAAAATCATCAAATAAATCTAAGTTTTTATGAGAATTTTTTTAAAAAAATTAAAAGTGTCATACTTTAAAAAATTAATAATTTTTTACATTAAATTACAAAAAAAATTAAAAAACAATTTTGAAACTTTTCTTGATATTTTTTTTTGAAAACTAGAGAAAAAAACACAATTTAAAAAAAAACGTTTTGTTTGGATTATTTTTCGCAAAGTTATAGGCATTGGAAAATTGCGAATTTTGAAAAAAATTCATATCTCATGACTATGTTGATAAAAAAATTTGAAAAAAATTATGGTAGCTTCTTGCGATGGGTACTATAATATATCAATATTTTAGCCAAATCAAAAATCCAAAAGTTTTGAGTGGCCCACTTGGCATGGAATGACCCATATACATATGTATATATGTATATACATATGTATAATATTGTATACGCGTGTAGGTAAAAAAAAATAGCCTTTTTTTAACCCAATATTTGAATGATATATCTGTGAATGATAATATTAGTTTATATTTGCAGTATTATGCGGAATCTCATGCTGTGATTTACATCGTCGACTCATCTGATCGTGATAGAATACCAGATTCCAAAGAAACTTTTGGTAAGACACGTTTTTAATGATATTTTGAGTTCTTAAATTAGATTATATACAATATAAAAATACATATACAGGGTGGCCCACATAAAGTGTTACAAGCTAATAACTCTAAAAATATTTGTCCTATTAAAAAGTTGTTTATGAGAAAGTTTCATATATTCGAGGGGCCTCTTTTTAACTACGTAAACAAAAATCCACCCCGGTTTCCTCTTCAAGAGGGGCGGGGGTAACATCAAAGTTTCAAATGGGACCCTCTGTAAAATGTTACATATTTGGATTCTACGAGAAAAAACAAATAAATTTTATCGGAAATATTTCTTTGGAAATTACTCCTATCAAAAATTATGAACATTTAAGTTTTTAGCCATTTTATTCACGATTAACACAAAGTTGTGTTCACAATAAAAACGAAAACGATTTTGGTGTTAACCAAAAGAAACATAAATACACATATTTATCGGGAAACGTAAATACAGATCTACTATGTAGTACACTGGGCAACAAAATTAACGCAACACCTGTTTCACTCTACAAAAATAAGCAAACTTCAAGATAGGATAATTTCGTCAAAAATTATCGTATCGAGATGTTTAAAAAAGTATTTTACAGATTGAAACCTCTACTTTTTAAATCGCTACTTGAAAAAGTGGTCTCTCGGAAATTTTATAAAATAACACAAACATAAATGAAGATATATCAGATCTCAAAATTTTTTACGAAAGGCTCTATCAGGTTAAGAAGGGGTCAATCGGCCCCCAAACGGATTATGACCAGCATGTCACCAAAAAGTTCGTTGACCCGAAAAAAAAATTTGGAGAAATTTTTAATTCCGTACACCACCCCTTTTCGGAGATATTGCCTTATGAAGTATTTTCATATTTTATTTTTGTCACGAGACCTATCAGATACAATTTTATTTAAAAAATTTGGGCATACAAAACGTATCAAAAGGTATTTGAAAATATTTTTTGCGAGATGTTCCAACCTAACCATAATTTTTAAAAAATTCCTGAAAATTTATAAGTGACCCCCTTTTGTTAGTTTATGATTGGCAACCTCGCAAAGATTCAAAAACATGTATTTTTAAACTTATTTTCACCCTGAATTTTTTCAGAATTTTTTGAACCCGGCATCATGCCTACAAAAATTAAAACTCGCCTAAAAAGGCAAAAAATCGCCATAAAATATATATCAAGTAGCCATAAAGCCCTAAAAGGTCATAAGATAGCCTGCAGACACAGGTAAGATAGCAAGATAACCCTAAGATAGTTCATCGCTCTGATTAAAACAATTATGCAATATTATGGAAGTCTTAAAACACTAAAACATCCATAATATCGCCTTAACCCTTTCAGTCACGCATTTTTCTATTCACTGAATTCGCTTGAAACTCGTTACTCAGGGGTTTTTGGGGTCGCTGATTACGAATCTGATATCATTTTTCAGGAATTCAAAATGGCGGATACAATATGGCGGACGACTTTTTAAAAAATGGATGAATTTGCTTGAAAGGAGTTACTCGGGGGTTCTCGGGGTCGCAAATTACGAATCTGATGTCAGTTTTTAAAAATTCAAAATGGCGGATCCAATATGGCCGACAACTTTCTAAAAAATGGATGAATTTGCTTGAAACGAGTTACTTCGGGGGTTTTCGGGGTCGCAGATTACAAATCTGATGTCAGTTTTCACTCATATATAAGTGTCTTCCACTTATATTCAATTGTTTTGAATCCCAAAATCTATTTTCATTTTCGTATTCAGCAACCCTGCGAACCCCCGAGTAACTTTTTTCAAGCGAATTCAGTAGATTTTCAATTTTCATACCCGCCATATTGGATCCGCCATTTTAAATTTTTAGAAACTGACATCAGATTCGCAATCGGCGACACCGAAAACTCCCGAGTTACTCATTTCAAGCTAATTCAGTCGATTTTCAATTTTCATGTCTGCCATATTGGATCCGCCATTTTTAATTTTTTGAAAACTGATATTAGATTCGTATTCAGCGACCCCAAAAACCCCTGAGTAGCGTTTTTCAAGCGAATTGTGATTATTTTTCACAAACGATTTCTTTTTCAAAAAATGGCCATTTTTTGGTATATTATTGTTTATAATTAATGAACTATAGTATGTTAATATGTATGATGTCTTGTATTCGACAAATAAATGCCTCAGCTATGTAGAAAATTAATCACGACGTAAAAAACATGAGAAACTGATTTTTAAAGGTGAAAAAATATAAATGAATCGCGAACGCAACTCGATTGCGCGATCACGCCCTCGACCGATTACCGGAACGCGCGGCGAAATAAGTTTAATAATAAGTATTAGAATTCTGTATTACGACCGTCAATTATAAATTATAAATTAACAAGAATAAGGAAACCATAATAATTTACGATTTACTAAGCCATCTACGGTCAAAGCTAGATTACCATGCTTATTATAATGTGTGAATTTATATACCGCGTATGTAGTCACCAATCTCGTGCCGAAAATTTTTCAGACTTACAACGCAATACTTAAACAACTACCGCAGTAATATCACTTTTTTAGTTAAATTGCTACCGCATATCTAACAATTATTTGATGCATCTATATAGCATCTTATTAGATCTTTAATAATATGTTGGAAGACATATATTAAAATTTAACAATTTAAATGTTAATGTAATGATGAATCTAAAATCTGTGATATTACTGCGGTAGTTGTTTAAGTATTGCGTTGTAAGTCTGAAAAATTTTCGGCACGTGATTGGTGACTACATACGCGGTATATAAATTCACACATTATAATAAGCATGGTAATCTAGCTTTGACCGTAGATGGCTTAGTAAATCGTAAATTATTACGGTTTCCTTATTCTTGTTAATTTAATAATAAGTTTAATATAATATTTAAACCGCGAGTGCGACGCGATTACGCGATCACGCCCTCGACCGATTAGCGGAACGCTGACGAGAAGCGCCGAATATGAAAGAGGCCTCAATAATTCAAATAAATATGAGAAGACCGATGCAGAGTGGAGTCAGTAATTTTATCAAAGTGTAGCGCGTCACTCTGCTCGAATACGATCTTAAAGTTATATCGCGATACGCGTAGTGTAAGTGATATATGTGAAATAAATATTTTGTGTATGAAAGTGAAATTAATAAAGTTTATTCAGATTGTTATTCAAAGTTATAAAAAATAAAAGTGTTCCAATAATTAATTGCTGCTCCCGAATCCTTGGTGGATCCCGAATCCCGTGCCGCAAGTAGCGGCACAACAATTTGGTGGCAGCGGTGGGATCCACACAGCTGACTCCAGGACCCGAGAGCAGCGACGGCAGCAATCAGCCTGCAAATAAGGTGTACCAAATAAATAGGCGAAGAAGCGACCCAAGGAGGCAATGCAGAAGCCAGCACACCAAAAACAAAAGCGAGCACCCGGTATAGCAGCCGACGACCAGGACGCAGATAGCAGCGTAACCCGAGAGGCGATCTACCGCAAGCGTGACTCAGCAGCTTCGAGCAACGAACAACCGACTACAAAGCGACATGCGATTAGCAGCGTTAATGTAAGTCCGAAAAATTATATTATATCGCCAATGTAATCGAACTAATGTTCGAAGGCGAAAATAATAGCGATAGTCCTAACGCTCCGACCGCGAGGATACTAAGTGAGCCCGTACCAAGACGGCCACACGTTAGTCAGATAAGTCCCGTGCATATAATCGGAGAAACTTTACGCGATATACGCGACAACGCGCGTCGTGTCTTGGACACCCAATACTCGAGCGATAGCGCGTCGGATTCGGAACAACCTCCGAACCTCGTTATACAGCGTGTATTCCCATTCGAGGAAGTCGACCAAAGCTTATTAGGGAACGATAGGCGCAAGCAACGAGAGCCCTCGTTATTATCTTTTGAAAGCGATTTATTCGTACCCACACTAGTTAATTCCGTCCCTAGCGTAATGGCAACGCATCCGCCTCAGACGCCGCGTGGAGACGTTAACGCCGGGAATAACCCGCCGATAGCCAACGCGGAAATAGACGCGGAAATAGGACGTTTAAGGGGAACTGTCGAACCGCCAATAAGAAATAGACAGGACGAAATTCTGGACCGTTTAATAGTAGTAATTAACGGACTACAAGACAGGATGGACAGAATGGAAATTAATAGTAACGTGCGCGAAAATTTTCGACTCACCGGACCT